ATAAGTTAGTTATGTTATTAAACAATTTGTTATATATTTGAATAGTCAACTCACTTCTTCAGTATAGTTTCCACAATACAACTTCAACCATGGTTTTACTGATTTCCACGGATGAGGGTCCACAGATGAAATGAAGATCCATAACAAGTATCTTTTTCTTCTATAAATCTGCAATCATGATTCTAAAATAATAGTTTAACTCACTTACATATAATAGTTCAGTTAAACTCGAGAGGTAAATCGCATTCCGAATAATGCATTCGAGATATAGATTCTCAAGTGGAAGTATTGTTGAGATGTACTGTTATACGCTTTCATCATCGTGATAAGTTGAGAAAAGAAAGAACTCAATAATGACTTCAAATGAAAGATTGGTGAACATGATTTCATTATGATAGAAGAGTATTAAAGGCTAAATGGAAAATGACAATCAATAGTCTAATCTCTAAATCTTTGAGATGATCATTGATCTGCCAATAACCATAAATGAAGAATTTCTAAGAAAACAACTATTTGTTTACAATTTTGGAGCAAAGTACAAACAAATAGTAACGCCCTCTTTTGGAATTGATCCAACAAACCACTTATCAATCAATAATCATGATTTATCATCATTACCATGTATGACTACCACATTCATTGTTTTTAATATTTATTTATAATTAGTGTATGTATGTTAATTGATATTATATGGACTGGCGACGTATTTAAAAGAAAGTTTGAGCGTAAATTGCTTTTTTGACTTCTTCTTCACGTTCATTCTGAACATCAATGCTTTCTGATGATGATGAACTGTCTGTTTCTAAGATGACCTCTTTGCGATGAACATTGCTATAATTAGAATCTGTAATCTGCTTTATTCTATCATGAAACTTACATTTGATGAGTGTGAACTCCTTCAGACCTTACATAAGATGTGCTTCTGTCGTTTTCGATATTTTTGCTGATGATGATGCTCTTGATGAATCAGTTTTTAATTAAAATGACTTACGTTGTCACTACTTCATCAAATGCTTCAACTGGACGAACTAATCCATGACGTGGTGCTGGTGGAGGTATTGTACTCTCATAAGGAAGGTGGTACTCATCAGCATGCACAGTCTGTCTCGAGTTAAACGATTGTTGACTGTTTTGGGTAGCAAAAATAGGTCTGAAATACAAAAGCGCTCTTTACTTCAAATTCATAATGCTATACGTTTCCGAATAATTTTGACGATATCTCAGATGATCAGGAATCCTATGAATGAGAACTCTTTAAGATATCTGATCATTCTAACTCACTCATTAGATCTTGTTGTACTTCCTATTGATTGATGAGGCATATAGTTATTCCTCGGGAAGTGATTAGCCGATGATGTTTCCTTCTTAAACACAGGAGAATTCTCTTTTCTATTATTATTGGTTGAATCAATATGATGTTCCATATGTTCGGTAATGATTAAATTATCAAATGCCATATTGTTTGTTGGTTGTTTGTCAGATTGAGTTCCCACGCTCTTCTTAGCATTGTTTTGAACTACCGTTTGAGCATTTCTTATTTCACTTGTAGAAACATCAAGCTTAAACACGTAATGATTGATTGGACTGTATGAGAGAGAAACCTTTGATAGTAAAAGACTGTTTTTCCTGTATTCTTCATCTTGTCGGACTGCATTCGTTAGAACTCTGAAAAAGGAATTCGATAGATAAGTATAGATGAAACTGACTGCTTCCTTTGCTCATCTTGCATATGTCTATAAGTAGCATAATCAAGTTCTCGACCACTGCAAAGACGGTTTCAGTGAATAGTCACTATCCGTCAACTTACTTCTTTTTGGATACTCTCAATCCTTTTCTGAGATAACATAAGAAACAGCATAGTGTCAGCAGAACAATCAGCAGTATCAATAGTAATATGAAAACCCAAGAATAGCGTCTGAAAAAGGCTCCAAATGATGATTCTTGACTAGAAACTGCAGATATTCCACTAGGCGCTCGAAAAGGTGAAACTGTAAAAGAATACTTGAAATTTTGACCGAATAGATTCTAATATACTGGTGGTCATTCCTCCAAGAGGGATTAAGAATGGGTTGACAGCGATGTGAGGTGTTAACACATTATCCTTTCTTTTAAGATCACAGATGAACCTTCCATTTAATCCGCTACAAACAATCGGTAGCATGACTGTCTGATACATGGTTAAGCTAGTTCCTCTCTCACATGATCTCTGAAAGTCGGTTGAGGTCTGAGATGGTTGACTATCAACTTACTTCAGCACATCCACTACAGTTTATAACAATCAGTTCACAAGTGAATGTTATATGTTTCGATGGCGCATAGAAATATACCAATGTTTGTTTCATTGCCCCTGTACGATTGTAACTATCACTTTCGATACTACGTATGATGAAGCTGTTACAGTTCAAACATCTGGAAGAGCTGGTTTCTCGAAAATCATGAAGCCTATCCTACCCGAAATGAGTCAGAAATTGATAGTTGTTTAAGAAACATTTGGAAATCATATAATCTTTGGTTTTAGTTTCATTAAAGGATATTTCAAATGTGTAAGGTTGATGAGGAACAAATTCATCTGACAGCTTGACATTTTCATGTTCGAAGTCAACAAAACCTAAAGTTGGAAGTAAAATATTCAGTTGATCATTTAACTCGATGAAACAAACACATCTCATCATTCATTTTGAATATGCATAGTGCTTTCATTGAGTTTAATAAGACGTACCTTCATGTATTCGAATCAGAACGCCTGATATCTGTAGTGGAATAAGCAGAAGAATTATTTTCCAAAAGAAACAATTCATAATGTATTCGACGAAGAAAGTGAAAAACCGCTTCGTATAGTCGTTTTTACAAATGAGTGGCGAAATACTAACGCAATCGTTGATGTAAAGGTTATATTATGAATAAGAAGTCGTATAGATGAATGTGTCATTCTTAGAAGACGACAGTCGTTTTAAACTTCCATTCTTGCTCATCGTACAATGAACACAAGAAAAATGAATGAAAAAGCATTGTCAATGTGTAGATTCTACTGGTCAGATGGCTATTTCTTTTGAATGCTTGAAATTCATTGAACTAACAGATTGTAACCATCAATAGGACTATCTTGAATGGCGCCATATCTGTATGTATGTAGGTATGTGTTAACGCAAACAAATTTCATGTTAAGAAATAGCTTTATGTTTGGAAGTAAGCGAAAAAGAAGAGAGAGAGAGGAGGAGATAGAGAGAGAGAGAGAGAGAGAGAGAAAAGGTTATATAATCACTTTGTGTGTGAATGGCGATAGAAAAGGAAAGAAAAACAAACATTCAGTAAACGATAATGTGTATTGAAAAAGATTTATTAAAGCTTGAGAAACATTTTTTGAAATTGAATAGCTTAAAGCTGTTTCTCATTCATTACGAAATAGAAATACAAGAAAATAACTTTTTTTTTTGTCGTTGTTGTTTTCAATTGGTCGGCTATCGATGGTTTCAAATTTCGATCAGTGACGTCGCATCATCAAAGTTCTTATTGGAAAGAATAGAAATAGCGATGAACTCCGTATTTAGCTAAGAATAAGGTTAAAAATCTTGTCTATAACTCATTTAGCTCAAACCGGCTGGAATAACAACATTGTTGTTGAAGTCATGCTTTCTGCGAATCTTTTGTGTTGGTGTTACCCAGTTCTTTTCCAATTGATCGAATCCAATGATTCCACGACGATATAAATCAATAGCACGTTTAGCATTAGAGCTTAATATGATTATAAATGATAATATTATTTATATATATCATATAGTATACCTATCGTATTGCCATGGCTTTATTTCGGGATATTTGGTGACGTTAACATATGGATAGCATAATAGTGGTCTTGGCACATAACGATATGTAGACCAATAGTATGGAACGGTTGATGTGTAACGATCAATTTCAAAATCATCCAGCTGAAAAGTTTTTTTTGTGTTTCCTCCTGTGTTCATTATCACACAAATTTTTCTTCAAATTTCATACACAAAAAAGCTTCACTTTACACAAAAATGATTTGACATGTGTTTGTGAATTGAATTTGAGATGAAAATTTGATTTGATTGTTCACATCTCATCTCAATTCAGAAATTTCTTTAAATAGATAATTGAGATAGAAGCTAACTGTTTCAATTCCTCCTCTGAGAGGAGCTGGAGATCTGTAGACATCAGCTCCACTTCCTACATGTCTCAAGTTAAGAGCCCCAGTAGATGTAACTCTTAAATATGTATATGATATCATATATATATATTATTTTATATTCATTTAATTATATGTAAGAGGGCGTTAGCTGACCTACTAAGAGTACCAACAGTATTGCTTCTCTCAACTGAGCGTGCTCTTGGACGATAACATTGGTTGGAGAAAACAGCTACGTCAGCCATATTAAATGCTTAAATATTAAAATATATAATAATATGAAAGTCTATAGAAAGTATATGACTTATGTGAGAAGAATAGAAAACGAAAATACTTGCACTGAATGTCTATGTGATGAAATGGCAGTCTCAATCATTGAATAGAGAGCATCCAAATGATTGACTTAAGGTTGAGAGAAGTGTAACAAAAAATATATTGAAAGAAAGAGCTGGATGGCAAAAGGGAGAGTTAGGAAGAAGAAAAACATGTGTTTGCTTCCTCCCACATAAAAAAATAATTGAAAAGGTTTAGAAAAATAAGAGAGAGAAAGGAAGAAGTCGTAATATTATAAACAAATGTCGTTTATTTAATGTTATCGATTGATTTGTGAAAAACGAGAAAAAGAGTAAATGTTATTCATATATATATATATTTAATTCTTTTCTACTTTTATATTAACATAACATGATCATATAGTTATGAAAGTTTATTTCAAAGTATATGTATATGGATAATAACAATCATTTCATTTGGATGAGATAAAGAGGATGAGGGCAAATGAGATGTAAAGGGGGGAGAAACAAGTTGATTGAAGTTGACAGATAGAGCTAGCTAGGTATAGTGCTATATGCATAGATTAACATAATTATAATTATTATTATTACATTTATAGTTATCTCCGTTGAAGTACAAATAACGAATCATTATTTATATGTATGTATATATATATATTATTTATAATATAGCATTTATATGCTATTATATATAGTTAAAAGGATGAGAATATCTGTGATGTGAGAGGGTGGTAGGAAGATAGGAGATGAGAGTATGATGTTATTCTTTAAACAGTACTTTTAGAACGACATGCACGTCCAGTAGTTGAGTCTTTCTCTCTAACATTAGCTGTTATAAGCATATGGTTAACTGGCTTCTTCTTTCCAAACAGTTTGAGGAAGCTCACACGATAGATGCGTTGTGTCCATATTGTAATGAGTGGATTGATAATCGTACCAATAACTAAGATTCGGAAGAAGAAGTTTGTTGCATCATTAAGAACTGATGAACGACATGATCCACCTTAAAGCAGTATGTTATTGTGTATATTCATGAGAAGAAGAGAGAAAATGTAAATTGGATACTTACATAACATGTTCGTTAGATAGAGTACACGATAGGGTAAGCATGTAAAGAATGTCCATAATGTACTTGAAAATAAGAAAAACAATCGCTTATAAACTCCCTTAAATACAATAAAAATGAATTATTGATTAAGGCAGATTGTGTTCATTACCGATCGTTGTCGTTCTTCCATCTTAGATGATGTATGAGCAACAAAGTATATGATGGCTGATATAATGAATGATGTTAAGATCATAACAGCATACAGTATACAGATAGGTAGATAGATGTTCATATCCAATTGAACTCGAGTACATCCGAGCTAAAGTAAGAAAGTGCAAAGTATATTAGATGTCTATGTGATTACCGATGCATCCATGAATAAGCTGACAGAGAATGCGAGTATAGTCAAGAATGACCATGTTATAATCGATAGTATTAATACTTTATATCGATTAACCAATTGATAATAATGTAATGGATACTGTATGAAGATGAGTTTATCCAAATTCAACCTTTAAAATGAAAGTCATATGATGTTAAAGGTTAAATGTACTTCATACCAAACAAGATTCAATGTGCTGCATAATTGAACGGTCCATATAATTATATAATATGGTTTACACAAAAAAATAGGAAATATGTTCAAAAATGGACGTGTTAGAACATATACAACGCTGAACAATAGATCTGCGATTGTCATATTGAAAACAAGTATCTGAAAAATGGAGAATAACATGGATGTTAATTAATGAAAACATGTAGATGTGCGAATGAGATGAATGGCAGCGAATGAACTTACTTGTCTTGGTTTGTCATCCGAATTAACATATTTTAATGCTATGAACAATACGAGAGAGTTGAAAACTGTTCCAAGACTTCCAGCAGAAAAATAGAATGCAGATTCATATATAGTAACGCTATCAACACTCTTAGATGCTTCTGTTTGATTAACAATAGATGTTATGTTAAAAGAAGCTGGAGATAGGGTGCTTGTCATCTGAAATGTCATAATATAACCTCAATGTGGAATGGAACGTCATTCACACAAAATATGGAAATCAAATATGAGCAACGACATATCTTTGTATGTTAACGGCAGAAGTCAAGTGAATAACGAAAAGTAAGATGTAAAAGAGATTTTGAAGTGAGGAAAGAGGATGGATTGTGAGAGGAGTGAAAGAGTATATTCAACTATCCTCTTCTCATTAACAACAACGCAAAAAAAGTTTTGTTGCCAATTGAATAGAACATGTGTATGAAGAACATTGCATGGAAAGGATATTACATCTCAACTGACCATGTTAGAAATGAAATATTTATGTTCCGTGAAACGTTTTTATTGAATTATTAAAGAAAGTGAGTTGAGTGAGAGAAAAAAGAAAAATGCAAGACAGAAGAATATGGTATGTTTGGTATGTTAATAGTAGGAGAATAATCAAAACACACATACACACATACACATTATGCTTCTTCTTCTATTCAATTCTCGATTTCACATTGGACTGTTGTACTGATTCATATTGTACTTTGAGATTATGTAGAGCATCTGGTGATTTGTCAGATGAAGAAAGAAGATTATGGGGTCTGGGGGCTGAAGCATAGACATCTGAAACTAAGCTTCAAAATGAATGCTTCAGAGGTTGTTTGAGAGAGAGAGAGAGAGAGAATATTGCAATTGTCTCAACAACTATTTGACTTTACTCCTCTGTTTTCATTGCTCATTGAAAGATGTGTTCTCCTATTACCTACTTTTGTTCTTAATATCCTCATCTTATTTCAAGCAATATTGCATACTTATAGTCACATAATTCACACTTGAGTATCGCAACTGCCAGACGATATTGAAATTCAAACGAGGCAACCATCATAGATAATAGAATTCTATTCTAATAATAGCTAGTTGAAGCCTTTTTTTGTTTCATATAAGGTCGTTTTCACTAAAAAAGCTTTACAACTCATAAAAACCATGTTGAGAGCTCACCACTTCTCTCCTCATTCTCTCTCTCTCTCTCAGAACCAAAAAAAAGGGAAAGGGGAAAAGCAAAAGCGTTTTATGGAAGGGAGAACTACGACTTTCGGGTTTTTTTTATTTCAAACAAAAAAAGAAACAAAAATAAAATTGAATTGCAATCGGCACTACATGTAGATGAAAGGAAATGAATGAACGTGCAAATAAAACTAAATTAAGGTAGAAAAGCTAGGTTTCTAATTCTTTTCCTCCTCTCTCTATCTCTATCTAGATATCTATCTCTCTCTCAACATCCTTTTCCAACTTTTTTTTTTCAAAGGGAAGCGCCAAAGTTCATGATGAGCATTCGACTGAATCTTCTTTTCAACTCTTCTCGCCTTTCAAGAAAGCCTTAGGGTTAGTTTTTCGTGTTTTGCCATCTTTTTGTTTTGGTCATAATAGGCAAGAGCAAGAAGCAAAAAAAAAGAAGAAGAAGAAGAAGAAGACGAAGAAGGGAGAAGAAGAGAGTACAGAACCGTATAGCATGAGTTGTGAGTGCAATTAAGGACACACAAAGAATAGTTTAATTCTTCAAATAATCCAATTGCGTGTCTGCTGGTGTGTTTTTTATTATTTTTTTCTTTTTTGGAAACAAAAATCAAAAAAAAAAGAATGAAAAGAAAAAGATGTTCGGGTGGTGAAAGGAGAAGAATCCGGGGGGGGGGATTGGTGAAAATGAAAGGATAAGTGGTGGATAAGCGAGAAAAGTGAATTGTAACATCAAGTGAATTCTCATGAATTCATTCGAAAGTTCTACTCTATGCACTCAATTTATTGCATTAAGGAATTTCCTCCGTAATTTATTTTACAAGCTTCTTTTTGTGGAACAATCTATCTCTTTTGTGGCATTTGAAGCTATTTTAGCAGCATTTTGCTATGGAGGAATTGCTTTCACAAAAAAAATCTTTTATTTGTAATTATAAAACATTGTAATCAGTCGGTAAGAGGGAGATGAGTGAGAGTTATGGAATTGTTGAGAGAGAGAGAGAGAGAGAGAGAGAGAGAGAGAGAGAGAGAGAGAGAGTGGAAGATGGGATGAAGAGAAATAGAAAAAGAGAGAGAGAGAGACGAAGTGCATGAAAGAGTGAGAGGAGAAGCTTCAATGAAATTAAATGACAAACATATAAGGAATTAGAAAATGACAGCTTGGGTCTGCTCGTATACTTCTATATGTTAAAATCAGAAACGAAAAAAATAATATATGAAATGGAGGACACTTTTTTTTCTTTCCATCACATTTTTTCCTTCTGCTTCATCTTTGCCGTCGTCTTCTTCGTCTTCTCTCCTCTCATGAATAATAAACAACACTCATAAGAAATAGGGATTGAGGTCTTAAGGTGATACTCTCTTAGTATCTCATTCTATTTCAGATATAACGAAGTAACTTGTGTTTCGCATGAAATGAAAAAAGAATCAAAGCTCTAGAGATTCTTATGGGGGCTTTGAAGAACGCAATAACCTAGAATGCTATTGAGAAATAAAACCAATTTTGTTTTCACTTGGCTAAACGCCAAGAAGTGAAAAATGAAAATGTATAAATTTCAAAAAAGAAAAAAGTCATTGTTAATAGACAAAAGTAGAATAGAGAGAGAAAAAAGAGAGAGAGAGATGAAGAGAGGGAAAGAGAAAGAGAGAGAGAGAAAGCGTGGAACTGGTGAACAAAAAAAAAAATTTTTTTCTGATTCAATTCAGAGACTGAGATAGTAGTAGTAGGAAGAAGACATCTGGTACGAAGCTATTAAAAAGGTTTTATTAGAAAGATGTATTGTAAACTTCACAATCATAGATAGATCAAGATTAGATGAATTAGAATTCCAACATCTAATTAGAATAGTTAAAGTGAAGAAGCTGAAGAAGCTGAAAGAGAGGTAATCTAGAAAGAGAGAGAGAGAGAAAGAAATGAAGGAAGGAAGTGTACATCTATAATATATTATTTTCTATATATTATGCTATTTTTCAATTCATATATCTATATATGAATGAATATATGAGAACACAATCTAATGTGTGTGTGGATGTGTATTGTATGATGTGGCTCAAGCTCACAAGTCATAGCTTATATGGGTGATTATAATATATATATATTCCTTTCTATCTAACTATATATGGATATGAGACGTTGTATGTGGGTGTAGTTGTGGTTATGCCTTTGCCGATGTCCGCCTACTTCTTCTCGCATCATTCATCTGCATGTAAAGGATGTTCTGATTTGTTTTTTTAGCGGTGTAAACGTGTATGTGTGTGTATGTGAATGTGAGTGTGAGTGAGTTATAGTTTATTTCAAAGAGGAAACAATGTCAAATGCTAATAACATCATGCACAGACTCACGTAGATTCATAGAAATACACACACAGATTGACAACTGAACACTTCTTCAAGGAATATGAAACACAAGACGATGACGATCATCAAAGAGAGAGAGAGAGCAAGAGAGAAAGAGGAAATCATATATAGGAAAAAAAAATACATTTATAAAGGATAAGATGAGAAAAACAATCGAATGATTTCATTAAGATGTCTGTGTCCATTCCCTTTCTCTACACTTACTGCCTTTCTGTCACATAAAAACATTGGCGGAATATGAATGAAAATGGAAGTTGCATCTGACAATCAAGAGGTATTACGTGAAGATTTGAGATTATTCAAGTAAAGAAGGAGAAGAAGCTTGTATCTACTGATTGTAACTGTTTATATCACTCAAACTCAAAAACAATACAACAATAACAACAAAAACATCTTTTAATACATTGCTTTTCAATTTGTATCCACAGAGAGCCAGTTGTCACATGAATCGTTCATCTTACCAAAGCGAATCTATTGAATGTAGTTTTCAATTCCATCAATCACAATTACTTTTAAATAAAATTAAAAATCATTGAGCGTTCATGAAAGTCAAGTGAAGGAGGGGCTGGCCAGTTGTGTGTGGAACATTGACTGAAAAGCAGAATGATTACAAAAAATGAACACCAAATACATACATCGAACATCACAATTTTAGATATTTAAGAAATTCATTTTTAAAATTTTCCAAATATGGCTATTCATAGAAATATTCCAAAGAATCTGACAAGATGTCAGGTTCTCAAATACATATTTTCATTTTTATTTTTGGACAGAGGATAGGGGGGGGGGGGAAGAAAGAGAAACAATAATAAAACGATAGAAATGCGTAAGAAAACATATCAAAACAATAAGGTTTGAGATGAGCAAGCATTTGCGAATGACATTCCTTGTGATGAATGATGCGCACGACAGACATTTGAAACTACTGTGACAAGGCTGACAATGCGATATGGCTGATCTTCATAATGAGAAACAACATGCAGAAAAACACACCCACGATAACCGATTTTTGAAAAAAGATTTGTTCAGCTTCTCAATCGGGTTCTTGAGAACTTAAACAAAAAAAGGATTTATTGGCTTCATTTGACAAAAATGAACTCACGGTGGTCCAGAAATAATTACCGATTTACTCACTTGTGAATTGTCTAAGAATTCGATCTTTTTCACTAATTATTTTCGAATTCTCAAGTGAATCTGCAGGAAATCCTTTGTGTTTTTCTTTTGATACTTCACTCCACTCAGAACGTTTGGTAACTTCTATTCCATTTCCGGTTTTTAAATATTCAATCCTTCGGATCTAGGAGTTGAAGACTTTGGCAATCCAGAGGATTTAGGAATCAAAGATTCTGGAGTATTGTTGACTCTACGCTAACCTGTAGATCCTCTTCAATCAGTTTAAGATGACATTTTGTGATTGTCATAATAGGAATATTGATGTTATGGTTACGGGAGGAGATGAGGGTTACGGGAGGCTAAAAAGACTTCGAGAGATCTTCATGCCCACCACTCCACAACTGACGGTTTTGAATAAGTAAGAGGTCAAGGCCCTGTACAAGAAATATATGCAACTATCTTCTAAAGATCGCATACACCCATCACACACACACACACAATGCTTAATAATAATTTCTGATCAAATAATATT